TGTCTGGTGCTCAGATAGGCCTCCCCTTGCCTCTGGCCATACGTTATAAGATTGTGTTGTCTCCTGGCCCCATCCTTGGAAGCACCAGCCTTAAGAGTCCATAATGTGCTTAATGGGTAAATCCATAACTGTTCTCTTTGGGGAGATAAACCCATTTACATGCCAAGCAAGGGGGACCTCATCTTCACCTCTGCTTTCAGAGGTGTTTCCTTTGGTCAATTACCTCCTCATGGTCCCAAGATAGCATTGCCAAGCTTCTCACCCTGAAGCAAAACCAGGGAAGTGCTGTCTTGGGCTTTCCTTGCAAGCAGCAGCTTGGTGAGGGAAGCTATTTAACCTATTTTATTTTCATCCTGGGAACCATGGTTTATTTGAGGTGGCTGCTTCACAGGGCTGCTATGGGCCAAGCAGAAACCCAGCACTTGGAAGGAAAGGGACTAATGTCAAACTTGGGATATACTTGAACTTGCCCACCCTGGAATAAATCTAGAGGTTTCCAGAGGGAATTCCCTTGAAATCACACCTGTATCCTCTGCTCCTTGTCCTACAGACCTCCCTGAGATGTGTTGCCATTGCATGTGCTGCAAACTGATTAAAGCGACCACTGCAAAACCCCAGCGAGATGGGATGCATGGCTCCCAACTGCAGCCACAGTGATGGGGTCCCAGTTGCTCTGTCTGTGTCTGATACAGCTGAGGGTTTTGCTGTATTAGTGTCTTTCCTGCTGGCTGGAGCTTCCCCCAGTGCTGGGAAGGATCAGCCTAACGCCAAGGAGGGGTCATACCCCTTGGGGTCTTGCGAGCCCAGCCAACATCCGTGCAGAAGGTCTCTCCATTTGTATGTACACCCATATGAATTAAGAGATGTGTTTTCAGGCTGAGTGTTTTCGGCTCTTACCCAAGGAATTTAGGCCTGTCTCTACTGGGCCAGGAGGCTGTAGGTCTGATACCATTACTTTGCCAACACATTCCTCCAAAACCCCATTTTCCCCTCTTCTTTCATAGATTTGGGGAACATGGGGCGGGTGTAGGATGGAGTGGATGGGTGTTTTTGCTCATACACCTCTCCTCCTTCCCCCATCCTCTACATCATCCTCCCCAGCCCCTTCCCCTCTTCTCAGCCATGATAAGCTTGCTGATGGAAAACATGTTGTCACACATATCTCACTTCCAGTGTGTGGGAGTCACTGATAGCGGCACGAAGATCTGGACAATAAAGCCTCCTGACAGCTTTCGTCTCCATCCCAGCCACGGAGACCTGCTCTTGGAGGAAAGGTCCTACAGGAGGTGGCCCTGGGGAGGAGGATGGAGAGGGGACAGGGCTCATTCACCCTCCCTCATCTGGGTGAAAAGCCTTTCCCCTGCTTTTCACCATTGCCTCTCATCCCTGGGGTGTCTCTAAATCAAAAGCCACAAGCTCTTGGCTGCAGGTGGCTTTACTGGTGTCCTGGAGAACAGCCCAGCAGTGCCCATCATGGTGTTTGTTTTGGAACGTCCCCACCAGCCAATGCTCCCTCCTTGGGGAGATGGGGGCTGCATTGCTCCAGCACTGCTGTTCTTCCACATGGGGCTGATGAAAGAGCCCAGAGCACCTTACCAGAAGGGTGAAGTCACTTATTAATGCCTAAAAAAAGATGAACTTTATTACATAGATGTTAGGGCTGACTGACTGCCATCCCCTCTGATGTGAACAGACAAGGTCAGCACAGGGCAGTCCCAGGGGCTGCATGTCTTCCTAGTCCCCTTATAGTACAAACAGGACATCGATTTATTAATGTAGAAAAGGTGCCAAGGTTTCACTGGCAGAGGTTCATTGGATTGACAGAAGTGTCTCCATGGTGGCGGGTCACCCTGGGCTCCCTTCACCATCCACAGAGATAAGAAAACCCTTGTAAGATGTGATTTCTTGCTGCACAGGACCTGTTCCTCTGGCTCTCAAGGTCACTGTGGAGGCCAAGGAGATGGGGGCTTTTGCTCTGTAGATGTTCAAATCGCTTACCCAATGCAAGGGCTTGGCTCTTCTGAAACAGGGCTTAGGTGTGACAGAGACACTGAAGGTGACCCTGATTTTATAGCACTCCTAGTGTTTCAGTATCTTTTTTTCTCACTGTAATCACAAGTGAGAATGATTTTTGCAGAAAATCTTGTTTATTCCAAGCAAAACATTAGTAGCTTTACAGACTTTCTGGCTGGAAAGAGAGCCAGTCATTGTTTACATTTCTGCCCCATGACTTGGAGGCTCTAGTTCCTCTCCCCAAAATCTCCATTTTCCTCTAGAGTACTGCTCTCCAAAGTGGGGTGTAAGGAAGATGATCCATCAGAGTGGGGAAAAAATATTCTTTGTAATATGAATAAATAACATAAAATATATTAAAGCACCACTGCTACAGGGAGCCATCTCTCTTCTTGGGCTGCAGTTCCCATGTCCCACAAAGCTTTTCCCTCCTGAAGGCTGTGATGTAGAAGATAGGAAGAGCGGTTTATTTTGGGGTTAACTAAAAATATTTTATGCTCTTCTGATCAAACCGTGTTTCTGGGGGAGAGAAGAAAAGAGGGGCTGACATTAGCGCATTAGAGGCTATTGCTGGTTTATGGAGAATGATGTTTTTCCATTCCAAGTTGGGAAAAAATGGCCAAAAACATTTAGAGGAGGCCCTGATGCTCCATCTCAAAATGATTTCGATGGCACATTTGTACCCAGCCCTGCTGGAGATCACTCCTGGCCCCAGGCTTTCGGTATGAGGCAGATGGATTCACCTTCCTCCCTCTGCCCTGACCATTGCCTTTGATGGCAAAGGGGATCTTTTAACCCTTTGCAGGGTTTTCCATGTTGCCTGCCTGGGATGTGAGAGGTTAAACTCTCCTAATGGAGTGGAGCTGGGCAAGGGCATTGCCCTTGCTTGACTGGGCTTCCGCACAGAGCCACTTTCTTCTGCGTGGCGGCTGATAGCCGGCTCCATCCTGCTGGGAGCTATTTCTCCCTGCAGCTCCTGCCAGTGAGCACACATAGCCATGTGCACACCCAGCAGTGCATGCTCCTCACAAGGCACCATTCAAGGGCTCCCCACCTCCTTCCCCTTGCAACCCGGCAGCCCGTCCCTGAGATGTCATCCTGCTCCTGATAAGGCGCAGAGGCGGCTGCTAAAGGAAGGCTCCCAGTTGCTCCCGGCGCCAGGCTGGGCAGGGGCAGACGTGTCTAACCCTTGCCTCCTCCTCTGCAGGGCCAAAAACACATGACATCACCCCCTCATCCCTGTGTGTCCCCCTGCCAAGCTTCTCTATCATGGAGCCCCATGGAGGAGCAAGGAGGAAGAGGGAAGGTGGAGGGGGGGAAGGAGGTCAGGGAAAAGGAGGGAAGATGAAGGCTGGAGCTGGAAGTTGGTTACTTTGGCAGAAAGACAAAGTTCTGCAAAACTTCACTGGCCGGACTTCAAAAAGGTGGAAAAACTAGAGGCTTGCTTCTGGCAGGTCTTGTTATCAAGGGGAGCCGTATCTGCTCGATGGGACTGATGGCTCATGAGAGCCGGAGTGGCTGCTAACCTCTGGCTGAGCTTTCTGAGGCCCTGGAGGAGCCGGACTGTCACTCAGCAGGGAGGAGAAGCCTCCAGGAGAAGGGATTGTGTGAAGACATAGCTGTGTTTGCAGCCTGCAGAGCAAGGGGAGCATGGAATAGGGTATCCCCAGCACATGGGAGCCCAGTCCCTTACTGGTTTGGTTTATGGTGGTAGGAGGAACCGGGGAATCTCTCCCTGCTCAGATCACAGACAGAGATGGGAAAGATCTCCACTGACTGTCAACTGGCACAGCTGAGATACCGGTTTTACTGGTTTCCCTCTGTTCCCTCCAGGACAAGACTGGTCCTTTTGGGGTAGATAGAAGAGTGGGTTTTGGTTAAAGTCAGGTGTGCAGCTTCCTTTCCTTGCCTTGCCTTTCCCTTTTCCCTTTTCTTTTTTCCGTTTTCCCTTTCCTTTTTCCTTTTTCCTTCCCTTTTCCCTTTCCCTTCCTCTTCACCCCCCCCTTCCCATTTCCATTTCCATGACGTGTCCCAAGCCTCCCCTTTGCTGCAGGTGCCCGGGGTAGCAGGGTTTGGAGGGATGGTCCCCAGCCAGGGCAGTGTGTTGCTGGCTCTGGTACCTCCTTCTCCTTCACATGCATTCATCATTTCCTCTCTAGCAAGGGTTTTTCCCCTTTCTTCCCCTAAGCAAACATCATTTTTTCCAGCTCTTTTACCTCCACCCCAAAAGCATTCAGGATACAATGCTTTTGTACATATCAGCAATCAGGGGCCATCCAAAGTCAGACTGACTGCTTCTTCAGTCCTTTTCTTCCCCCAAGCTCACAATGACACTCACCCTGGGGTATCCCTGACCAGAAAATAACAGTGAAGCCAGGAAAACTCCTTTTGCTTTTATCACCAGCCTGATGGGCAGTGTCTCCTTTTATTTAAACCTCTCACTATGCAAGTAAGATTTCACACAAGAATCACTCCATGAAGCAGCAGGACAGATGCAGAACCCACCGCGCCCACTGTGTGACCACCAGGTGAATTGTTTTGCCCATGGAAGTGGGATTTCTCCACCCACCACGTTTACCTCGTCTCACAGGAAGATAACCTGAGCCATCCACCCAGGTTCACATGGTTGTTGCTATTGGGGAGAAGGAGGCATTTCTGGGAGGGAAAATCATACCTCTCTCTTGGATCCATCTCCTTGAAGAGGATGGATCCTGCTGTGGTCTCTTCCGTAGACAGAGCAAGAGATAGATGTTAAAGGCTGTGATGGAGACAGAAATATGGGCTAGAAGAGGGGCTTCACTGGACAAGCTCAACAGACCCTTCTGTTTCTGCTCTCTGGAAGGGCACAGGTATCTCCTTGGTTTTGTGCCACATCTGCCAGCCTTGTACAGATCTTTTGGACACCCCAGTGCATTTTGAGCATCATCAAACCACAAGGATCAGGCAGGATGATCCATCTCAGAGGGAAACACAGCTGCACTCTGCAAGCAGTACTTCAAAACCCAACAGCTTTATTGGTGATGAACAAACTGAGCTGCAGGTGTAGGCACGGAGCAGGTCCTATGTACAGCTGTGGTTTCAGGATCACCTTGGTGTGCCAGGGTCCATCACAGCATGGTTGTTCTCATCGGCAGCAACGCACGTGGCCATTTCCGCAGGTCCCTTCCCAGCGCTCTGTGTGGAAGCAAAGCCTCCGGCAGCGGCCGTGGTTGCTTCTGCACTGCTGGCTGTCCGACAGGCCACTTGCTGCAGGGGGAAAGGTGATGGGAGACCCATTTAGGGCACCTGCAAACCCACTCGGAACTCTGCTAGTGCTGGTGACTGAGTGATGAGATGGGGACATTCAACTGGCTTCGTGATGAAGGTTTGATGTGCTCTGCGGAGCATCTGCCTCCAGCGAGCACTGGGACTCTTTTAACAACTAGCCTAGCCTAGGTGGGATGGCTGCTGTGGGTTGGCAAAGTTAGGCTCCATGAGTTAAGTGAAATTTCAGCTTGGCTAAGTTGAGTTAGATGACTTAGGTGGAGTGGATCCCTTGGGCAATATCACAAGTCAGAGAAATGTCTTTTTGGAACAGGTGTTTTATCTGTTGGTTTGGGAGGTTTTGTATGATTGTTGTTTTCTTGGTGTTTTGGGTATTTTTCTTTGTTTGTTTTTTAAAAATCTTCTTATTTTGATCTAAAGGGTACGTGCTGCTTCTCTTTACACACAGCAGGAACCAAGTCTGGGGTTTCTGGAGGGTGGTGAGACATTGAAGAGCTTGCCCAGAGAAGCTGTGTCTGCCCCATCCCTGGTAGTGTTCAAGGCCAGGCTGGACGGGTCTTGGAGCAACCTGGTCTAGTGGAAGGTGTCCCTGCCCATGGCAGGGATCTTTAAGGTCCCTTCCAACCCAAACCATGCTATGACTCTATGATACACAGGTGCGTATCCACCACTGGTGGAGCAGACAAACCTTTCTCTCTCCCCTCTTTATCTCTAGGATTTAAGTAACTAAATGAGAGTATAAACAAGCTGAGCAAGTAAATATCCTATTCTTTGTTATGAGGCTTGTTTTCTATGAAATTTATACCACCATAGTCCTAGTAACATCGTAGTGACCTTACGGGTGAATGAAAACTGAATTTCTAACATATACACACAAGCAAGCAGTGACAAAGCCAAGCCAAGGAAGAGAACAGAATCCCAGAAGAAAACAGACAGACACAGAAAGAAGCTAGCAGTCTTTCCCCCTACTGTTTTCCCCTGAAAGATTAACTTGATTTAATGGGGTTCTCCTTGTCTTGTGGAGGGTTGAGGCTTGCATCCTGTTCAGGAGCAGAGCTTAGACTCAGTGTTCCTGAGTAGGTTTTGAGGGGATGGAGAAGAGGGGATGTACAGTCTATGAACCTGGGATGTCTGCATCCAGAAGCTTCATGCACACTGTTTCAGAAGGTATTTGTTCCCTGGAAGCAAAAGTTAGGTTAGCCTTGACTTGGTTTGCCTTGAGGGCCTTGTTTTGTCCTTCTCTACCTTGGGGTAGGAACCTGTCTTTTCTCTCCCCACAGTCCTGATGAAACCCCTGTATCTTGTCCTTACCCGGAGCATCCTGGAGGAGGAGAATGATAACGACTGCAAAGAGCAGCTGGAGGATCCGCATGGCTGGACGTCAGGGGAGGTCCCACCACGAGGAGGAGTGAAGGGCTGTAAAGAGGCGGAGAAGAGGGAGAAGTGGGAGATCCTGGATTTATAGTGCTGGACGGGTTGTGTAACGCTCCTGAAGCCCAGGGGACTTTGTCAATCTCAGATGAGTTTCAACATGACAGCAAACATTTGCGTTGGGATGTTCCCACTCTCAGACACACCTTGTTACAGAAGGAAAAAAAAAAGAAAAAGAAAAAAGAAAAGAGAAAGAAAAATAAAGGAAAAAAAAGTAAAAAAGTAAAAAAAAAAAGTAAAAAAAAAGCAACAAGTTTTTGTCAACAAACTGCACTGAGCACTGGGGAGTCTGCTACTGCTTGCTGCTGGAGACAGGATGTTGGGGCTGACCCAATCTGGCTCTTGTGTTCTTACGCTTGAGCATGTGATGTTAAAATCCCATCCAAGTGTTTGCAGTATCAAAGTTGTTCATTTCCAGCTTCCAGTCTCTGTGTATAGCACTGACAGCCAAGAGTGAAAAACTGCAGTCTCCTCATCAGCACTCCCCAGCACACAACATTGGCTTGAAAATCATGGGATCCTTACAAATCAAAGGTCTGTGTTTCACAACTTCTGGGCTGCAAAGGCAAAGCTTGCCAAAGCTTTGTTTACAAGTGTCAAGAAAAATGGCAATTTAGCATCTTATTATGTATTTATTACATGGGAAATCTGGGATACCTCCTCATAATTATCAGGAACAGGAGCATTAGGAAAGCTTGTGTATTACAACTCTTCCAAGAAGGATGGCAGGGTCCCTGGTCTGTACTAACTCTCCAGGTTAGTTCCTGGAATGCAATAGAGGTGGGACCGGAGTTTCAGCTTTGGAAAACAACACAAGGTACATACCCAGCAGAAATTTCCCCAACCAACAACAAATAGAGGAAAAGCAAAAGGCATCACCAAGTCTCCCATTTTCCTTTAGTAAGTCATCTTGATGGCTTTTTATTTGCAGGCTGGGTGCCAGGTAGTGATGGAAAATGGGAAAGTGATGGCCTTCATACTGCTTGAACAGAACAAGGATCACCTTCATCAAACAGAGCAGATAAGGGGCCCTTCACCAGCTGGACTTTGCATCATGGGACACTGAGCATTTAAACAGGGTGTTATACAGACTGGCCACACAAAACCTGGGACAAGAAGATGGTTTGTAAGGATGCGTGTAAATCCTCTCTATGAGTGTTGATGCTTTGCATATCTGGTGGTACTGCTTGGTGCAGTGAGTGGAAGACCATAACCCACCATGTTCCTCTAAGGATTGGCATCTCCAATGTGACAGATGGTGCAGTGGGGCTGGGGTAGAGTTTCTCTAGCAGAAACAAGATTACAGGCCTTGAGCTACAGCCCAAGAAGGGAGGAGCGTGTGGATGCTCATATGAGTATCCTGCTCTGAGTATGTGTCTCAACACGTGTGTGCAGGTGGTTTGATGCACTCTAGAGAGAGGAGGCTTAGCACAGAGCCAGAGTACCACATGGCCGTGGCGTTCCTGACAGTGGATGGCAAAATGCCATGATTTATCCCTAGCTCAGCTGCTTTCCCTTAGTGGGAGCAACACCATCTCTGAGGATGAGCTGTGTCTGGGGCTGTTTGAGTGCTCCACAGGGACAGGCACAAAAGTGGCCAGGATGCATCCTCTACATCACTACAAGCCCCTGCTCTACAGCTGTAGTGCGTGGGTCGAGTTGCAGAACATGTCTTGGGAAAGAAAGCCAAAACCAGACAATACCAACATAAACCAGATTTCCCCCAGAAATCAGGGGCAGGAAGTATCTGTCCCCTGGGCAACTGCTTGAACAGCAGCTGGGCTTGCTTCTTCCCGCGTGGTCCCTATGCTGTGCTGGCCTCAGCCTTTGGTCAGCCTACTGGGGCTGGTCCAGCAGCATCCCACCCTTCCCTGCTTTCCAACCTGCCACCAGATGGTTTCTTTTTGGAGTCCACCATGCACAAAGGATGATCTGTGCTCAGTGACACACAGAAACCAGTGCCTGCGTACCTTAGAGGTTTTGAGGCAGGGGAGGAGTCAAGTCAATCTGCACCCACCCCATGGCCCCAGACAGGAAGGATGTCTCCACTGACTTCATCTCTTTTTGTGCCATGAGCTGAGCAACCCGATATTTAAATGCAGCCTGGGATAAGTGTATGCCAACATGAGCAAGTCCTTTGATGACTGAACCCTTGCCAGCTTGCAATGCCATTTCTGCTTCCCCATCCCACCAGTGGCTTCTTTCCAGTGCCTGAGCCAAGCAAGCACTGATACAGCCCTGCAGTTCAGCTCATGAAGAAGTGATCGTGGGCTCAGCTCTGGGCTCAGCCCTGGCACAGAACCCCCTTATGGCCTTGGGTGGGCTTTCGTTACAAACCACCATGCAGTTGTCCTCACCCACTCAAAGGGACCATCCACCTCCCTCCTATAACAGTGGCCACATGGGCTTGATGATCTTAAAGGTCTTTTCCAGCCTAGTTGATTCTATGATTTTATGGGGAGGTCTGAATGAAATTAAGCACAGCACAACTGTGGTATTTTCTCAGTTTGCCTCCTGCTTTCAGGCTATTTTTTAGCCTGAAGAGTGAAGTCTTACATGGCAATATCCTTCAGCACGGAGTTTCATAGGTCTGCAGCTGGTTGCATAAAGGAACAATTTGTTTGCTTGTTTTAAATATGTGTCCACCTAGTTCCTGTGCATGACGAGGCCATGAGTACTCAGACCCCATTAACCCTTAGGACATTTTATCAGATTTTCCCAATCCTCTAGACTTCTACCATGTCCCCCTAAACCACCCAATGCCAGTCCTGCTTTGCAAGAGATGCTTCTGGTCTCAAACTCTGCCCAGCAGGCTTTGTCGTGCCTCCTGCCTGCTCCCCAGTTCCCCCTGCATCCAGGGGAGATGACTGGAGATAAGCCCAAACCCCTGTGTTCAGGCCTACCACATCTGGTGTGTCATGGCTATCCCTGAGAGCACAGGTCTTCAGGCCCATAAGATGCCTCACTGAAGATCATGGAGATATAGTACTCATGTCAGCCACCTAAATAGGCATCTGGCCACCAGCTGCATGGCCACATCTGGACATCTGTTAGAGATGGTCCCTGGCATTTGCCCAGCTCCAAAGTGTACCAAGGAACAGTCTGGCAAAGTATTAGTTTGATGTTAGTGTGATTAGTTTGATGTTCATTTAGTGTGAAGTGTCCCTGCCCATGGCAAAGGGATTGGAACTTGATGATCTTATGGTCCTTTCCAACCCTGACTGTTCTATGATGATAGCCTGTATGGGTATCTGTTCATGTCTGATCTTGAGCCTCATACAGTTTGACTTACTCTGAATCCAGACACGTTTTATCTTCCCATTATGCCCCTGGAGCTGGTGTGGTAGGGTGATGGCATCCTCCACTCCACAGGAGGTTGAAGAAGCCACATGAGTGGGCTGGATATGAACCCCTTTCTTTGAGCAACCTGATCTAGTGGAAGGTGTCCCTGCCCATGGCAGGGGGTTGGAACTGGATGAGCTTTAAGGTCCCTTCCAACACAAACCATTCTGTGATTCTCCTGCATGGGGGTGAAGGAAGAGCCAGGCATGCAGGTGCTTGCATTGGTTTGCATGGGATTTCTGGGGACATAAGAGACAATCTGGATCTAAGGTACTTGCCCAGCACTATGAGATCTCAGCTTCCCCAAGCAGGAGCCCATCTGACCACCATTCTTCTCCTGATTATACAGCTCCATTTCCAATGGTGTTTTTAAGGCAGAAGCAGAGGATTCAATCTGTCTGTCTCACACTGCCAAGCAAACACTGGCCTGCTGCCTGGGAACAGTAAATAAATTCCAGTGAGGGGACGTTCATGCTGTGCTTTGATGAACTGATGTCTCCAGTTATGCATGAGGTTTCTGCTGGTTGACAGACTGGGCATGAGGGTAGGGCTCTATCCTGGCTGTCTGTATGGCTGAAAGACCCCACATATATTTCCCAAGATGTCTGGGTGGTTTCTGGTCTCCCTTAGGGGCTGATATAGGTCTGCTAGGGCAGTCCTGAAGAACCCCTATTTTGTAGCCGCCTGAGCTCTGTCAGGTACAGGTAGCTGGAATGAAAGGCTTAACCAAGCCTTTGCCACAAACATCATCTTCCTCATTTGGCTTTTTCCCATGAGGCCCAAGACTTCATGCCTTTTCAAAGTGGGCTACTGGCCTGATTGAAATTCTCACCAGCCTGCATCTCTGAAGGGATGGCAGACTTCACTTTCTCATTGCTTCTGCCTCTCTGGCTTCCCCATCACTTGCCTTACTGTGCCCTCTAGTCCTACATGCAATTCTGGAGGTAACATTTTGGATTCAGATGAACCCAGCTTACTACATGTGGGTCTGCACTCTGGGAAATGAGCCCAGCTGGGCAGGACTGCTGGTCATGGGGGAAGTCCTCTGTCAAAGGGGCACCCTGGGGATGACTTTTACTGAGTGCCTCAAACCATGAATATGTTTTGGATTTTAGATATAAAAGGTTGGAATATGGTGCTTGGGGGCCTATAGGAGTGTGGTCTCATGGTGAATGAAAACACATAGGTGAGCAGATCTGTGCTGAGTGCATGAACATGGTCACTTAACCAGAGGAGTTCAGTGCTGCCTCCTCCTTGGGGTTACAGGATACACCAGCCTGGGGTAATTAGTTAGGCCAGCATTCCCTATCATACACTTACACTAAACCATCTCATACTGCTGTTTAAGCAGCTTCTCAGGACCTGTGCTGGTGTCTGAGTGCTCTGCCCCAAGCAAGTTGATGGGTGAAGAAACCATGTCAAGAAACAGTTGTGTAGTGTTGGTGGACTTGGAGAGTGCTGTTCTCTACCCTCCACCATGTCCTCAGTGCTTTCCCTCTTCTCCTTCTGTGTCAGATCACGTAGCTGGGAGGGAAGTCAGTTCATTTTATTCATCAGGCAGAAACAATCATGGATTTCTGTTGCCTTTTTTTTTGTTGCATTGTGGTTTGGATTTTTTAGGGTTATTTTCTGCCAGATCAGCAAGTATATACAGTATATATAGTATATATATATACACTGTAAGTATATGTATGTGCACTATAAACTGTCTGAGCATTTCCACCTTCCCTGACTGAAATTTGGCTGGCTAAAGTGATTCAAAATGCATAGGTGGCGGAAGTCCCAGCAACTGGCAGGGAGCTTTACAGGGTGAGCTGCATGAGCCCATACGTTTCACTTTCTTAGGAAACCAGGTTATAAATATGGTGGCTACTCATCCCCCAGATAAGAGGAGTGAATCATGAACTCTGTGGGTGAACGTGAGAAATAAACTGTTTGCTTTGGAACGGTGCCTTTATTTCAAAGCCTGCCTGTGCTGTACTCATACACCAGCATGCATCAGAGAGGAGGGCTGGACCTGGGGAGAAATTTGGCTCTGGTCTCAGCCCTGTCTCAGTTTCCAGCACTGGTTCCCAAGCCAACAGCTGGCTCTGGGTAACCTGGCTCTCCTGATGGTTCATCCAACTGCAGGGGATCTCCAGGGCAGTGCTGGTATCTCCCTGCATGCATTGGTGCCCTGGACTGTGCTATGATCACCCAAGGAGAATAGCTGGGATGCTCACAGAAGAGTGGAGTTGCTTGGGTGAATTAATTGTTGGATCTCTGGCAATGGCTCCTGACCCTGGTGAGGTCAATGGGATTTTTCCTGTTCGATTCATCAGAGCAAGAACTTAATCTCCCAGGAAGGACTTTTCCCTGGCTCTGGCCAACACTTTGCTAATTGGCGTAGCTCTCTCATTACATCGTTTTCTCTCTTTCACAGAAATGATTGACACAGAGAGAAATATTTTACCTGGAAAGGGATAGAGGTGACTGACAAAGGCAGGG